TCCAGCCCTAGAGGCCCCCAGGCCCATGGCCCACTCGTCTGCCCTGGACTCGTCTTCTTTTCCTGCAAGTGTGGTTGACAAGTCCTTCAACATCATCTCAACTTTGGTTACCAACTTGCTTCCTGTTCTGTGTTTCTCATCTCACGGTGAAGGACATTATCACCTCTGATCCTAAAAACATCAGCCAAGGGAGCTGGAGATGTAGTGCAGGGCTTAGGGCGCCTACCTTGCACCCCCAACCCGTTCTATTACCCGATACCACATATGGCTCCCAAGCACTGCCAGGAGTCGTTCCTGGGCACAGAGCTAGGAATAACCTCTGAGGACTTCAGGGTGTGACCACAAAAGATCTATCTATATCTATGTCTCTATGTACAGAGATGCCAGCCATGTCCAGCTGCCCCTTCCTGGTCATCACAAGGCCTGGGGGGAACCCTGTGAGATTCCTCCTCCTCTCCTACTAGCAGAATCTAGTTCTTAAAGGATCCGACACATGTAACTTGGGTCACCACAGGCTCCTTTTGACCCACACCAGCCTGTTGCCGGTCCCAGAGTGGTTCTCTGGAATTTGTATCTGAACTGCTCACCAGGCCTCTGAGAGCAAGAGCCACTCACACAGCGACTGATGGTGCTCTAGACCTTTGCTCTTCTAAAGAAAAGCAGAGTGTAACCCCAGCCATCTCCCCCAAGAGAAGCAGAGTGTAAGCCATCTACGCCCAAGAAAAGCAGAGTGTGCAGAAGTGTCTCCGGATTTTGCATTAGGCCTCCTTCGCCAGGCCACCTCAGATGGGAAAAGGTGTTGTTCCCTCCACCTATTCTCCAGGAAGCCCAGCGACTGCCATCTTCCAGAGCTCATTGGAAAATCCAGGTACGGACCAGCAGTGATGACACACGCCAGGCCTCACAGGATAGGGGTGGAGCCAGTCCTTCTCCTCCACTGTCCTGATGGGATCCGAGATGCCACCCATGAACGCCCCCACCCCCACCACTGACTACTGATTAAGCTCCTTAACGGTCATGATCCCTGGAGACACACAAATGAATCTCAGAACCTAGCAACTCTTGGCAGATATCTCTCCAGACCTAATTATTAAAATTTTAGAATTCCAAGATCACTCGGCTACTCTTTCAGCCATGAGACAACATATGCTATTCATAACCAGCAATAGAAAACAAATTTTCTAATGTTGCCTTTTTGGCAGGTCTGAGTGTTTGGGGAAAATTCCAAATAATAATGGTGGGACTGCTGTCAAAATATTGAATGTAGTCAAAGTAGAGAGAGAGGAGCACTGAGGAGGAGCACTGTCCTCCCATTGTTCATTGATTTGCTCGAGTGGGCTCATTAACGTCTCCATTGTGAGACTTATTGTTACTGTCTTTGGCATATCGAATACGCCATGGGGAGCTTGCCAGTTTCTGCCGTGCGGGTGGCAGTCTCGGTAGCTTGCCAGGCTCTCTGAGAGGGGCGGAGGAATTGAACCCAGGTCGGCCACATACAAGACGAACGCCCTACCGCTGTGCTATTGCTTATCTGCCACACAGGGATAGGGGTTGGATGGGGGTATACTGGGGTTTTGGGTGGTGGAAAATGTGCACTGGTGAAGGAATGGGTGTTTGATCACTGTATGACCGAGACACAAACACGAAAGCCTTGAAATTGTTCTCATGGTGATTCAATAAATAAAAAGAAAGATAGATAGAAAGAAAGAAAGAAAGAAAGAAAGAAAGAAAGAAAGAAAGAAAGAAAAAAAGAAAGAAAGAAAAGCAGAGTGTAACCCCAGCCATCTATCCCAAGAAAAGCAGAGGGTAATCCCAGCCATCTCTGCCCCCTTCTCCCCCGTTCTTCTTGGAGAGTATCTGGGAAGAATTCATGACTATTTCCCTTTCCAATTTACATTCACATATTACCAGGGCTGGAGCGATAGCACAGCGGGTAGGGCGTTCGCCTTACAAGCGGCCAACATGGCCGACCCGAGTTCGATTCCTCCGCCCCTCTCGGAGAGCCCGGCAAGCTACCGAGAGTATTTGATATGCCAAACACAGTAACAACAAAGTCTCCAATGGAGACGTTACTGGGCCCGCTCGAGCAAATCGACGATCAACGGGAGGGCCTTTACTTTACTTTATATTACCATAACACCAGATCTCATTCATTCCATTGGATTTTTTGTTCGTTTGGGAGTCACACTCAGCGATGCTCAGGACTTACTGATGCTGGTGCTAGGAGGATCTTATGGATGTCAGGGATTGAACCAGGGTTGGCTGCATGCAAGGTAAGTGCCTTACCTGCTATACAATCACTCCAGCCCCTCATTTAGTTGGTTCTTAACTAAGTTTGCCCTAAATGTCCTTTGACTCAGAGATCTCATTAGGCCATAGGAATTCAAAAATGAACTGAAACTACTACTCTGGTTGGTTATTAGTGGGTTGAGAATCTCCCTTGCTCTCTTCCTTCATGGTTTTATTTATTTATTTATTTATTTATTGAATCACCATGAGATAGTTACAAAACTTTCATGTTTGAGTTTCAGTCATAAAATGATCAAACACCCATCCCTCCACCGCTGCATATTCTCCACCACCAATGTCCCCAGTATTACCTCCCCCTTTCCAACCCACCCCTTGCATATATGGCAGACAATTTCCCCCACACTCTCGCTCTACTTTTGGGCATTAGATTTGGTCCTTTATCTACTTTCAGCACATATCTCTCATCCCGAACGATTTCTCCAACCATCATTGACTTACTGATCCCCTCTCTATTCCAGCTGTCTTCTCCCTCAGCTCATGAGGCAGACTTCCAACTATGAAACAATATTCCTGGCCCTTGTGTCTACTCTCCTTGGGTGTCAGTCTCATATTATGTCATTTTATATTCCACAAATGAGTGCAGTCGTTCTATATCTGTCCCTCTCTTTCTGACTCACCTTCATGGCCTTAGAATTCACCTGATACCTGTGTAACTTAGGCACCATTTGTGCTATATAGATACTATATAGTCATTAGACAGTATGGCTGGAGAACTTGACTATCATGCAAGCATTAAGTGCTACTAGCACATCATTTTAATTTTGTTAGGATGGATAATATTTCTGTGGTATGGAGGAGAAAAGTTCTTGTTCAGAGAAACAACTTGAAAGGGTTTCAAATAAAAATACAGATAAGTAATATGCAAATATGTCAAAATGTTAACAGAATTGGAATTCAGGGAACATGTGATCTTTCTAGTGTCTTTATGTGTGAAAATGTTCATGATAAAAGAGGTTTGTTTTTTGGTTTTGTTTTGTTTTAGTTTTAGTTTTTTTAGACCGTACCCAGCAATGCTCAGGGTTACTACTGGCTCTGCACTCAGGAATCACTCCTGATGGGGTTAACAGGAGATCATGTGGAATGCCAGCGATTGACCCAGACAAGCCTCATACAAGGCAAGGACCCTATCTGCTGTGCTATCACTCCAGCCCCCCAAAAAGAATATTTTAAAGGTGAACTGAGGGAACACAGGGAGAATATAGTAGGAATGGGCTTGCCTAGCATGCGGCCAACTTGGGTTTGATCACTGGCACCCCTGATAGTCCCCATAGTCCTGGAGCACGGATCCAAGAGTAAGCCCTGAGCACATCTGGGTGTGGCCCAGTACCCCCCATTCCAAGAAAGTGAGTGGTTTGTGTGTATCTGTCCTCGGGGCCTGTGGCAACAGAACACTGTAGGCAGGGTGGGGTCTAAACCACTGGGATTTGTTGCTTGCAAGTCTGGAGAGCAGAAGACAGATTGGGGTGTCCACAGGGCACATTCTAGAGAGGTCTCTCTTCTGGGTCCTTGTCAGGGGTCCTTACATGGGGTGAAGGCACCCAGGTGTCTCTCTGGAGCCTATTGTAAGATACTGTTCCCTTCCATAGTACTCTGGTCACCGCTCCTAACACATTGAGGGTCAGGGTTTCTAGACATACTGAGGGAAATGGGGTGTGGCTACAAGTGGGGTGTCAGTGGAAAGGCAGCTGATGAGCAATTGGGGGCAGGAAACACCCCTTCTTTTAAGCCCTGGACTGAGAAATCTTCGCAGTGGGGCCTTCTCAGGGTCCAGGGTTGTGGAAGGACATTGCTTTGTGCAAAGCGAATGAGACTGGAGACTCTGTGCCCCCTCCCCCACCTCCCTTAGCCCATCCTGCCTCAGGAAGAAGGGGAGGAGGTAGGCAGGCAGCGCGATCTTGTTCTGGGGTTCAGTGACTGGGCTGCAGGAGGTTTGACTCAGGGGAAAGGAGGCGCAGGCCATCGCAGCTCTTTGGAAACTGGATTAGCAAGCGGCAGTGGGCGGGCACAAGCTGCTCTAGTCCGGCGGGCCGGGACAGTAGGTTGAAGGAACAAATCTCTGTCCCAGAAAGTTTGAAAGGGCTTGCAACTCGGACACTGTCCCCGCGATTCTTTCAACATCCCCGGGTCAGCAGCTATCTCTGGAACAGGTACCTGTCCGCCCGTCTCCCGCTTCCCAAACCATCTCCCGTAAGCACGACTACGCCCGCGCAAGGGTCCCACACACAGGGCTGCGGGCCGTTAGTGCAGTCTCGGCCATCCCTCGCCCCTCCCATCCTCATGCTCCGTTCCCAGCACCCTGCTCAGCCCCAAGTGCCCAGGGCGCACCCTCGAATCAGCAGGACGGACAGGAAGCCAAGGCGTCTGGAAGGGCCTGCGGGGCGGAGCATAGGTGCGCCCTGGCTGCGGGGACCCTGGTGGGGGCGGGGGCGCGGGCACTGTGCGCTCATCCTGCTGCCTCTCACCCCAGCTGTGACCCGCTTTGCACAACCCGCCCCTGCACGGCCGCGGCTCGGGCGAGATGCTGCCACCGATTCCCAGAAAGCGCGGGGCCTCGGGGCTCCGACCTGGTCCGGGTCAGGGACTCTGGTGCCGCTTCCTTGCAGAGTGGGCAAGAGGGGCGTCGGGTGGGGGGGCGTGCCGCGCGCTCGCCAAGTCGCGTCCTGCAGCGACGCCAGGAACGTCGTCAAGGTCGTGGCGCAGCGCTAGCCGGGCCGGGCGGGCTGCGGGGCGGGGCGCGGCGCGGCGCGGCTTTAAGAGGCGGCGGCCACGAGAGGCCGAGCCTGGCGGAGAGCGGCGCGATGGAGACGGCCTGGGACTACGCGGGAGCCCTCTTCAGGTCAGCGCCGCGCCCCCGGTGCGCTCCCGGTGCGCCCCCCTGTGCGCCTCCAGTGGGCCCCCAGTGCGCCCCCGGCGCGCCCCTCTGTGCGCCCCCTGTGCGCCCTCCTTGTGCGACCCCCTGTGCGCCCAGCTGTGCTCCCCGCGTCCTCCTGCTTGCGGGGTCCACGTGCGCTCGTCCACCCTGTCCAGCTCGGGCTCCCCTCGCCTCTCCCCGTGCTCCAGCCCACCTTAGCTTTTTTGGGTACGGGTTACTCCTGGCTCTGCACTCAGGAGTTACTCCTGGCAGTGCTCACGGGACCATATGGGATGCTGGGAATCGAACCCGGGTCTGCCGCGTGCAAGGCAAACGCCCCACCCGCTGTGCTATCTCTCCAGCCCCTTCAGCCCGCCTTAGGCACGAGGGGTGCATGGTGAGTGTCAGGGTGGCCTTGTCCCTGCTGCTGCTGTGCCTGCTGCTGCGCCCACCCCACACACCTCTGGAGCAGTCCTGCTCTAGGGGAGGTTGCTCGATAGCGGCCAGCTGGGCCGCTGGGGACAGGCCCAGGGTGCGCAGACTCATGGCACCAGAACAGGTTGGGACACCCTTTCCCCGCATCCGGGGCTGACCGCTCAGGACTCTCCTGCGCACTCTCACCCGAGTGCAAAAGGATGTGTTTGGGGAGAAGCCACCCCCTCCTCCAGGCCTGTCCTCTAACCCCGACCATGGGCTGGGGTACGAAGTACCTGGACGTGGCCCTGTTCTTGGGTCTCTTCACTGCCTGATGTCCACTAACTATTCCTTATTGGTAAATGCCCGAAAGAGTCAGTGGAAGAGACCCGATGGATAGAAAGAAAGGAATGTCTCCGACGACCTCTAAGGAACTTAAGAAGGACAGAGAATCCCTCGAGCACCTTCAGATGTGATTTTCCGAGGTGAAGGGTCCCGTTTGTGACGCTGAAAATCTGGCTTGGTAAAAGGCGAAGGGAAATAGCAAACTAGTGAGAGAGGCCAGAACGGAAGTACAGCATGTAGATCATTTGTCTTTCTTGTGGCCAATGGGGTTCATTCCCAGCACCCCTTAGGGTCCCCCAAGCCCTGCCAGAAGTGATTCCTAAGTGCAGAGCCAGGAGTAGGCCCTGAGTAGTACCAGGTGTGTCTCCCCCCAACCCGCCCTCCCACCCCCCCAATAACCAAAACCCCAGTGTGAGCTGTGAGCATCTGCAGGCTTCCTCAAGCTTGGGAATGGCATGGAGAGCAGATTTAGAGGAACCAGTTCATAAAGGCTGTAGCTTTCTCTTCAGAATAGAACCAAAGGGCCAGAGAGATAGTACAGGGTGTAAGCCTCTGCTCCAGTCCCTACACCACGCAGTCCCTCAGCTCTGCAAGGTACCCATGGGGAGCCCCCCTCCGCCACCCAAAAGAATGAAACACAAAACTAAATAAGTCATGTGCAGGGACATGGGGGAGGCGAAACACACACTTGGTTCATGCATCTCGGCTGGCACCTGTTTTTATTATTGTTTCAAAACACATTTAGGAGAAAGGTAAAACCTTGGTTTCTTTCCTGTTTTCTTCCTGTGCTTCCCATTCCATCCGTGCCCACAGCTCTTCTTCCAGGGGGTAAGGATTGGTCATAATTTGGAGTAAGGCTGCTGCCAGAATTCTCTCCTCTGAATGCACAAACAGGCTGTTCTTCCCTCTCCTGGGAGGACTGGCTGAGGCTAGCCAGGTCAGAGCACTGAAGGGCTGCCACTTTGGAGAGCAAGAGGAGGAGGCAGAACTGCAGGGTGGTCCATGGAGTGGGGCATAGCACAGGGGCTGGGGTACTTGCCTTGCATGCTTAGTGGCCTATGATCCCTGCTGGGGTAGCACTGGTGGTCCCTGGCTCTGGAAGAGCAGGGCAGCACCACATCCTCAGGCCCTTGCTTTTAATCACCTGCCCAATAGGTTAAGAATCATGGAGACTGACCCCAGACCTTTCCACAATGCTTGGGAATCCCCTTTAAAAATATAGAAGAGGTGAGCCGGAACAATAGTACCGTGGGTAGGGTGTTTGCCTTACATGTGGCTGGCCAGGTATCAATTCCTGAAACCCCACATGGTCCCTCAAACCCGCCAAGAGTGACACCTGGGCACAGAACCAGGAGTAAGCACTGAGCACTTCTGGGTGTGGCCCTAAAACATACACAAGTAGAAGATTGTGTTGCTCAATGGTTAGAGCTTTGCAAGTGCGCAACCCTGGGTTCAAACCTGACAATGGAGGGGATGTGGGGGAAGGAGAAAGACTGGTTCAGCCCTTGCACTTAACCCCTACAGCAGTTCTTCAAATACAAAGTGGACCTGTGTGGGGTTTCCTTGGGGCCAAGGAACCAACCTACTTAAGAAATGTTGACGATCATGGGGCAATAGCGCAACAGGGAGGGCATTTGCCTGTGTGTGGCAACCTAGATTTGATCCCTGGCATCCCATATGGCCTCCTGATCACCACCACTAGCAGTTATTCCTGAGTGCAAAGCCAGGAGTAATATCTGAGCATCACTTGTGTGTGACCCTAAAACAACAAAAAATATTTGTTTTGTAATTTTTACTCGTGATAGTGCTTGGGGGACCTATGGGATGCTGGAAATTGAACCTGGGTCGGCCGCATGCAAGGAAAAAGTCCTACTTGCTGTGCTATCACTCCAGCCCCTTGTGTGGCCATTTGGGGGGGGGGGGGTCCAGTGTTGTTACAGTTCCTTGCAAATCTACCTGTTTCCAAATTAAACTGAAAAAATAGAACCCATGATTCTTGTTGAACGAAAAACATTTTTGCTCCCTGCCCAGATTCATATCCAGGCCCAGGACTGGAGAGATGGAGCAGGGGTTAAAGCACATGCCTTGCTTGTGGCCGACCCCCGCTCAACCCCAACTCTTGCATGGTCCTTTGAGTATTGGGGTGGTAATCCCTGTCACCAGTGTAGTCGTATAATTAGGGAGGAACCCCCTGGTCTCCTGAGCACCCCTGATCTCCCCACTGAAAAAATAGGTCCAGGCTGAGAATTCATGTTTAGCAATAGGCAAGGTAAGGCCAGTTTCTGTCCCCACGTAGCGTCCCCTGATTTAAACTGCTGCTGGTCTGTCCTCACTCTGTCTTTTCTTAGTAAATAAGCACATTTGGCAAGGAAATGAGTTAAGCAATATTCGTGTCTTTTTCAGATGATCAGAGACTGTGAGTGATTAGGAAGTCTCCAGCCTGACCTTTGTCATTAATCCACAGAGGGCCCTGAGTCTTAGTGACCGCTCAGCTCCAGGCTCAGGGCTGGGCCTGCTCTGCCCAGGTCCCGGCTATTCACATGGTAGGCAGGTCTGCAGCCCCATCCACTGTAACCTTCACACGTGCCACTGCTCAGATACCTGAGCCTGGGTGCACGACAGCCCCTTCTGTAGCTGTTTCGTGCCTTTCCTCGAACAGGGAACTGGTGCTTGTGTATAGCTACCATTTTTTTTTTTTTTACAGATTTTATCACTGTCTTGGTGATCTAAACAAGGAAATGAGATTTTCCTCAAGTCAGTCTCCAGGATTACAGAGGCTTACTTTTGTGTGTCTGATTTGTTTGTTTGTTTTTATTTTGGGTCACACCCAGCAATACTCAGGGGTTACTCCTGCACTTAGGAATTACTCCTGGTGATGTTCGGGGGAGATGCCAGGCATTGAACCTGGGTCGGCTGCATGCAAGGCAAACACCCTACCCACTGCACTATTGCTCTGGCCCCTAAACTCTTGTTTGAGTATCTTTTCAAGGCATGCAAATACTTGATGGTTATAGATTGAATAGTATCGACACCCAGCTCTGATGAGCGACGAGTTGCCCAGTCTTGGGAGGCACTGGGGGTGGGTGGGACACTCTGTGGGGTGTCCCTCTGGTGCCGATCTACTGACTGTAACAGTGTCCCTGTAGCTGCCAGGGAGCAGGGAACAGCAGCCCCTGGGGTGACCCTGGCCGTCCTCTGCCATGCCCCCTGGGGCTCACAGAGATTGTCACTTTCTCTCTGAGCTGGCTTGTGTCTCTGTGAGCACAACCTTGACAGCAGTAGTTTCCTTGACACTCATTGTCACTCTCGGCCTTGGTGATCCCACCACTTGACTTATGACCTAGTCCTGCTCACGCCTGATTGCCCTCATGTGGGTCCCTCTTCCCCCTCCACCAGTGCAATGTGGTGCTCCCTCAGACAGGGTTCCTCTCTGATTATCCTTTGGACAGTCTCTGGCACAGCCTACATAACCGCCTTATCACCTGTGAACCAAAATCTTTCCTGGCAGAGACCTGGTTCCTGGGCCTGCTGTTGGCACTTAGTACCTTCAGCATAAATGTCAGTCTAGAGGGTGGCCTGTCAGGATTGGTCTTGTTTGTCTGTTTTAGTTTTGGGGTCACACCCAGCAGTACTCAGGGGTTACTCCTGGCTCTGCACTCAGGAATTACTCCTGATAGTGCTATCATATGGGATGCTGGGGATTGAACCCATGTTGGCCATGTGCAAGGCAAAAACGCAGGCCCAGGATCGCTTTTCTTATGACTTGGGGGTTAGCTTTGTTTTGTTTTAGTTGTTGTTTGTTTGGGCTGCAGCTATAGCACAGGGAGTAGGGCGTTTGCCTTGCATGCAGCCGACCTGACTTCGATTCCTCCAGCCCTCTCGGAGAGCCCAGCAAGCTACCAAGAGGATCCCACCCTCACGGCAGAGCCTGGCAAGCTCCCCATGGTGTATTCTATATGCCAAAAACAGTAACAACAAATCTCACAATGGAAACGTTACTAGTGCCTGCTGGAGCAAATCGAGAACAGTGTTACAGGACAGTGCTACAGTGCTACAGTTGTTTGTTTGGGCTCATACCTGGAGGTGCTCAGGAGACCACTTGGCTCAGGGGGACCACTTGGCTCTCTTTGCAAGAGTAAAGGGCACTCCATGCCTTTTGCATGACCGTTTGGTTCCCTCATTGTCCTAGGTTAAGGACTTTGCTTACCAGGGGACAGAATGATAGGACAGTGGATAAGGGTCTGCCTTGCACGCAGCTGACCCAGGTTAAATCACTGGCACCCCAAGCCCAGGAGTGATCCTTGAGCGCAGAGCCAGGAGTAAGTGCTGAGCACCTCCAGGTATGGACCAACACCCTCCCTACCCCCATCCCCAGTGAACTTTGCTTCCCTGGGGGGCGGGGAGAATACAAAGATCCCCCTGTTTTCCTTCTTTTCTCATCATGGTTTTAAGAATATTCTAGGAAGCCTGACTTCCCCTATCCTCTTGATTTCCCTGAAACAACCTATTTCCTCGATTGCCCTTTTCCTCATTTCCTTTCTTTCTTCTTCCTGCTTCACCCCAGGGTCTGACCACACTTTCTCTGGGACATCTGCTGTCAGGGTGGCACTGGGAAAGGTGATACTCTTGACTTCTCAGGCTTCTGTGGTGGTTTGGCTATGCAGAGTACCAGGGGGGAAATTTCTTAGAAGGTGTGCTAATGGCCAGTGGTATAAATTAATCCATGAAGAGAGGCAGATGTGAGTTGGCTTATTAGATTGACTTGCTGATTGAGCTAGCTGTTTGCCCTTCTGCTCAATAAGTTTAGTGTACATGACAACTGATCCTGTTCCTTACAAAGAAGAAGGTAGATTTAATTTTTATTTCTTCAAGGATTTTGAATAAATCCTTGGTGTCAGGGATCAAATCCAGAGTCTAACACCTGCAGAGTAAGTCCTCTACCAGTGCGCCATTGTGCTGCATGTTTAGGAAGAAAGGGTTTTTCTCTTTCTTTCTTTCTTTCTTTCTTTCTTTCTTTCTTTCTTCCTTTCTTTTTTCTTTCTTGCTTCCTTTCTCTCTCTCTCTCTCATAAAGCAAGAAAGGTTTTTTTGTGTGTGTTTTTTTTCTTTTTGGGTCACACCCAGCGATGCACAGGAGTTACTCCTGGTTCATGCACTCAGGAATTACTTCTGGCGGTGCTCAGGGGACCATATTGGATGCTGGGAATTGAACCTAGGTTGGCTGCATGCAAGGGAAACGCCCTACCCGCTGTACTATTGCTCCAGCCCCGCAAGAAAGTTTTTAATTGAAGCTTATTTAGAAACATGAGGGAAGAGAGAGGGAGAAGTACATGTTCGAGAGAGAACACGGTCTTCTCCAGACTTCTTGCAATTGAATTTGGAGGTGGACCACACCCGGTAATGCTTACCCTGGCTCTGAGCTTAGGGTCACTCTTGGCGGGGCTCAGGGGGCCAACAGGTGATACCAGGGATTGAACCTAGGTCCATTGTGTGCGATAGCACAGCGGGTAGGGCGTTCGCCTTGCACGCGGCCAACATGGCCGACCCGAGTTCGATTCCTCCGCCCCTCTCGGAGAGCCCGGCAAGCTACCGAGAGTATTCGATATGCCAGACACAGTAACAACAAAGTCTCCAATGGAGACGTTACTGGGCCCGCTCGAGCAAATCGACGATCAACGGGAGGGGCCATTGTGTGCAAAGCAAGTGCCTTACTCACTATTGGAAGAGGAACAATAGGTGGTGTTTTATTGTTTGTTTGTTTGTTTGTTTTGTGTATGTGTGTGCTAATTGAAAGTGGCAATCAAGAGGGCAAGGGCAATAGTACAGTGGGCAAGGCCTCTTTTTACCTTGCACGTGGCCGATCCCCAGCATCCCACACAGTCCCCCAGCAGCACCAGGAGCAATTCCTAACTGCAGGACCCAGGAGTAAAACCTGAGCATCACTAGGTGTGCCCTCCCCCACCACACAAAAGAATCAAGAGGGCAGGGAAGAGCGTAACAGACAGACCACCAGCCTTTATCTTGTCAGACGCTGAACGGCAATAAGAACTTTCTGTGGTCACCTGTGTGAGGTCACTGGGCATCAGTTCTTTCTGAGGTGTGGGCAGGCATCTCCCATGAGGACAGCTGGACCCACGCTCAAGAGGTCAGAGCTGTGGGTGCCCTTGAGTGGCCACATGAGGGCCTGGACCAAAGATTTCAGAGCGGAGTTGTGTTCTCCCATCTCCGTGACTCTGCCTAAGCCTTTGTTTCAGTTAGTAAGTGAACTGCAGAAGCTGTGGTGGGCTTGGGAGAGGCGCCCACCAAGGGTCTGCGTGGCCATGGCCTGGAGAATGGGTCCTGGTGTCCTGCTCCGAGCGGGAGGTGCTTTGGCAGCTGAGGGTCCTGGGAGCCCTGGATCTGTACAAGTTTCCCTGAAAAATCCCCAAAAAGGAGGGTTTTCATCTAGAGTGGCACGCACTGTGGTTCGGAATCACGGGCTGGTTCAGACCCCTGTTCCGGTGCTCTCTGACCTGACGTGCTTGTGTTCCCCCATCCCATGCCTTCGTCCCGCTCACTTTTCGGCGTGTCCTGCAGTACCGCTCGGTCACGTGCTCAGGGCAGAGTGGGACCCGCCTCCTCTCCCCGCACTCGGCCGGCGAGTGTCCCAGTGCTGTGCTGGACCGTGGCCAGGGTCTGACGGAAGGCCCGACGCAGATGCCCTGGCCGCACCACCCGCCCCGTCCACTGCCAGGGACCATGAGAACAGAAGCTTGTTTCCTGCAGCTCAGCTTGGCACAGTGTGGGCATCTTGTTTGCTGCGTTGTGTAACTAAGGCTGGAATCGAGTGTGACTCCTGGGCATCAGGGCAAGGTTCAGAGCCTGCCTGTGAGGCAGCTGTCCTATCATGGTTTACTACTCCCTGGAGCCCTCTCTGCGCCTGGAGGGCCACAGACCTGGCACTGTCGCTCACTGATGCCACGCTGGAAACAAAACACACAGTGACGCTGCCAGCCAGAGGGTCAAAGGGGGCTGTGTAGAGACTGGAAGAGCAACTGGAACCATAGGACAGCAGGGAGGGTGTCTGCCTGTCATTTGGTTGAACAGGGTTCCATCCTCAGCACCCCATATGGTCCCCCCACCACAAAACACCAGGAGTAATCTCTGAGCCCAGAACCAGGAGTAAGCCCTGAGCACAGCAGGGTGTGGTCTAAAAATGGACAGAGAGAGAGAGAGAGAGAGGAAGAGAGGAGAGAGGGGGGAGGAGAGGAAAAAGGAGGGGGTGTAGCTAGGTTCCAGGCAGAGATTTGCCTTTGAAGCTCAGAGCTGTGAAGTTGTACCACTTTTTCTTATTAATTTCTTGAGGTGTCTGCCCGGGACTCAGTGAACAGGGTTGAAGTAGGGGCGCCAGGAAGATTATAACAAGACAGCAATAAGAGAAAAATGTGGGGGTCAGAGGCCTAACAGCTTCAGGGACTGGGCGCTGGCTGTCCTTCATGCTCAGTATTCATTGCTCTGAATGCATAGACATTTCGGGGAGGAGAGTAGCATTCCTGAGCCAACATTCATCAACTCTTAATCTCATGAGCCAAACCCTATACTCATATGGGAGGCCTCCGTGTGTCGGGACAAAGATCTCTATCACAGGAGTGTTTCTTAGGGGAAAGCAGTCAACAGGGGCCCCGGCATCAGTGTTTTTTCATGTCAGCGCTCGTTTTCTGGGTTGGGGCTCCTGTGTCCTGTCTTTTTTCCTGTCTTTTTCCTCCTTCTGTCTTAGTTCCCAACAGTGTCCTTGAGAGACCTCTCTGGGTCTCAGTTTTCCCATCTGAGAAATGGGCTGATACTTTCCTGGGATGATGGTGGTGATGATTAGTTCATATCCTTGATGCCACAACCGCCAGAAGTTATCCCTGAGCACAGAGCCAGGAATAAGCCCTGAGCAAAGTTGGGCTTTTCGCCTTGCATGTGGCCAACCCCTGGTTTGGTCCCCAGCATCCCATATTATCCCTGAGCACTGGATTAAGTTCAGGAGTAGTTCCTGAGTGCAGAACCCAGGAGTAGCTCTTAAGCATAATGAGATGTGCCCCCCCCCAACACACACACACACACACACACACACACACACACACACTGATATCCAGACTTATGTATAAGATTATGAGAGGGCCAGAGAGATAGTCCATTGTGTAAGGTGCTTGACTTGCATTCATCTAACCTGGGTTCAATCCCTGACACCCCATATGGTCCCCTGAGCTCCACCAGAGGTGATCCCTGAGCACAGAGTCAGGAATAAGTCCTGAGCACTTCTGGGTATGGCCCCAAAGTCACAAAACAAAACAAAAACTGCTAAAGAGAATTCTTAGTCATTGAACTTCTTTTTCTTAGGTTGTTTTTGTTTGTTTGTTTCATTAATTTTTCTTCTTTAATGTCCTGCCCCTTCCTTTAGCTGTCATGGGTGTTGCTGTTCAGATGACCAGGGTCATCTATTGCTGGCTGTGGTGCTTTCAGGGTGCAGAAGGCGGTGGGGTTGTGTCCATCAGATTACAGCCTCAGTGTAAAAGTAAATATTTTTCCTTTTGTTTTGTTTTGTTTTTTGGCCACAGTTGGCAATGCTCAGGGGTTACTCCTGGCTCTGCACTCAGAAATTATTTCTGACAGTGCTCAGGGAACGATATAGGATGCCAGGGATTGAACTTGGGTCGGCAGCATGCAAAGCCAAGCCCTCCCCATTGTATTACCCCTCCGGCCCCATGTTTCTACTTTTCTGTTCCATGCACAGGCCCCTGACGTTTATGGGATCACAGACAAAGAAGGTTCTACTCACCCCCCTCAAGCATTCGGCGCGCCCCTTCCGAGTTTCCAACCATGACAGAAGCAGCCGGCGGGGGGTGACGGCCAACAGTTTGAAGGAACTCCTTGCAAAGGTGTGTGGGCTGGGCTCCCTTCCGCGTCTCAGAAGACCCTGAACCCACATGAGGCCACGGGTGGGGGGGGGCTACATCTGCGCAGAGAGCAAGTTGGCAGAGTCCGTGGCTTCGGGAAGCTTGAGGGGAGCTGTCAGTGAAAGAAGGAGAGGAAGGAGTCTTGTCTCTCTGTGTCATGGAAGACTGAAACACAGAGGCAGTATTCTTCTTAACATTAGTCATCAACTGATAATGTCATTTTTTCCCTGTTTTTAAATTTAGGGGCTACCCTAAACTTAAATTTAGCAGGGCTTAGGGTCTACTCCCAGCTTAGTGATCATCTGGGGGTACTGAATAGCATTTAAGGCACTACTCCCAGCTTTAGTGCTCAGGGATGCTTCTGCCGTTGCTCAAGTGATCCTGCAGAGGTGAGTATTGAACCTGAGCTTCCTGCAGGCAAACCCTGAACTCCAGGCTATTGATTTTGTCTTTCATCCCCTTTCTATTTCTGTGAAAAGGGAACTGAGGAGATGGCTTAAAGGGCTGCAGCAATGCGTTGCATGCATAAATCCCAGATGTTATTTCCAGTACTTGTATGGTTCCCCCAAACATCACTGGGAGTAGATTTCAGAATGGTGCCAGAAAAGAAAGAAAAGGAAAATATATAAGGAACAGCAAGCTTTGTGAATCTCAGGGCAAGAGCAATAGTACAGTTATAAAGGTCAAAAAAAAAATCATCCTTGCTCTAACACAGTATCCTAGATCAGCAAGTAGGGAAGAACATTAGACACCTAAAGAGTCTCAACCCAAAGACCCAGGAAACAAGAAAAAGCATTTAAATCAATTCCGGAAAGGTGCCCAAATATGCTACACAAGACCAGGATTCTTTTTAGGGGGGCCCTTGCAAGCTGTGCTCTGGGGGAGCAGAGGTCACTCCTGGCACTTAGCCAACCAAGCTGGCCAGTTCTACCCAGCAGTGCTCAGGGATCAGAGGGTGCTGAGGGTGGATCTGGGTCCCACACATGCACAGCAGCTTCATCCCCGGGCCCAGAGGTGATTTTTCTTTTTCTCCTCTTCCTCCTCCTCCTCCTCTTCCTCCTCCTCCTCCTCTCCCTCCTCTTCTTCCTCCTCCTGCTCCTCCTTTTCCGCCTTCTCTTCCTCCTGCTCCTTCTCCTTCCTTCTCCTTCTCCTACTTCTTCCTCTCCTCCTCCCCGGCCCCTACCAGATGTTTCAAAAGTGTATTACTCTATGTGAACACTTATCTCATCCTTGGAGTTCCCGAAGAAGACAGGCTTATTAGAATTCTTGACTTCCAGTCAGAAGGAAAGGGATGGATGCAGAATGATCTTTCTCACAGGCGGGACTGAAAGATCCACAGTGAGGTAGCACCAAAGGTGCAAAGACAACATAGCAGGGAAAACTGAGCCACACAATTCAGGTGGGGGGGTCAAGGAGGGTGCTGGGGTTTGAGGGGGAGGGAGGTGGGTAGACTGGTAATGGGTGTGATGTTGGAATGATGTGCATGAGAAGTCATTATTAAGATCATTCTAACACAGAGAATCTCAGTTAAAAAATAAATAAAATTCTTAACTTCTCTGAGCTAAGTCTGAATCATAGACGGCTTCTATATTATCATAGAGAGCTGTAAGGAAGTTCTGTCTTTCCCATTACATTTCCAATCAGCCTCTTGACACTGCTGAAACTATGACTTATTCAATGCCACTGACTTGTCGAAATGGAATGTCTCGCCCATCCGTCTGTGTTGTCAATCTAGACCCTGGAGGCACTCATGATCACTGCTGGACTGGTCACCTTGGTGCTGGAAGAGGACGGCACAGTGGTAGATACAGAAGAGTTCTTCCAGACCTTAGGGGACAACACACATTTCATGATCTTGGAAAAGGGGCAGAAATGGACACCGGTAAGTTTACCCAAAAGCAAGCAGGTACACTTTTTGTTGTTGTTGTTGGGCCACAGCTAGTCATGCTCAGGGGGAACTCCTGGCTCTGCACTTAGCCTTTCTGTGCTGGGGGGACTGAATGGGATGCCAGGGATCTTACCCTGATTGGCTGCGTGTAAGGCAAGTGCATGAGAAGCCATTATTAAGATCATTCTAACACAGAGAATCTCAGTTAAAAAATACCTGCTGTACTATCTCTGGCCCCTAGGTAAATAGCCTTAATCCATAGGGTCGATGCCTTTCCCAGGGCCAGCAAATGCATTGCTGGAGAGGAAGCAGTGCCTGCCTGGAAGCTCAGCCAGTGTGCCTATTGTAAATGCATCAGCACACACCTGCTCCTTCAGAGTTCTTTTTTTTTTTTTTTAATTTTTTTTTTATTTATTGAATCACCGTGGGAAAGGTTACAAAGCTTTCAGGTTTAGGTCTCACTCATGCAAATATCAAACACATTTCCCTTTACCAACACTTATTTTTTACCATGAAGAACCCCAATAAAACCCCACCCCCACCCCTCCCAGTCCCTGTGGGGCAGATGAATTCTAGTTAACACTCTATCTGCTTTGATTAGATTCATTGTTTCAATAAAAGATTCACCACTATTATTTAGAGTTTACCCCCCCCCCAAATCAGACACGCTGAAAAAGCATTGTGACGTGATTTGCTTTCTACAGCTGGGTTCAAGAATTAAATGTTGGTTTTGGATTTCTGCTATTTTACTTATTGACCCTGGAAGTATTTCTACCTTCAGAGTTCTTGAGTGAAGTGAAGTGCAGCCAGTAAAGCGAACAATATACAGCTTCATACAGATCTGCAAGCGTCTAGCTCATTGGCAGGAGAGACTGAAAATGGTGCTGGCGGGCTACTCTGTCCCTGAGGGTGGGAAAATGCTCCCTCACTAGAGCTTGCTCATTTGTAGGGTTTTTTGTTTTTGTTTTTGCATTTTGGGTCACACCCAGTGATGCACAGGGATTACTCCTGGCTCTGCACTAAGGAATTACTCCTGGCGGTGCTTGGGGGACCATATGGGATGCTGGGAATCGAACCCGGGTCGGCCGCCTGCAAGGGAAACGCCCTACCCACTGTGCCATGGCTCCAGCCCTCATAGGTGTTTTTGTCCATTATACTTGTCTGGGCCAGCAGAGTTCACTCTGCTTCCATGAAAACACCTCAGCTGCCTGTGAGACAGTACTTGGAAGGGGAAGGCAGGTGAGTGAGCTCTCCGTGCCCGGCCCATGGGACACACCAGAGTGCCTTAGCTCTGGAAGGGCGTTCTCAGCATCATTCAACACCAAGACACCTGGGATTAATGTAAGGAAAGACAAATACAAACTTCCATATGGCAGAAAGAAAATGAGACCATGAAAGAAAGACCTGTTGCAGGGGTTTAGGCTGAAACTCCCTTTTAATCCTCTCACTAAAAACTCTTGGTATTTGGAAGCCTGGAGAGAGAGCACAGCAGGTAGAGCACTTACCTTGCATGTGGCTGACTTGTGTACAATCCTTGGTATCCCATATAGTCCCCCTGAGCTTGGCAAAAAAAAAGTGATTTCTGAGCACAGAGCCAGGAGTAAGCCCTGAGCATCACTGGGTATGTTCCCCCACCCCTCCCACCCTTCCCAAGAATAAACCCACTACTATTTATTTTATTTTAAATTGGGAGCTTGAAGCATAGTACACAGCACCACATATGGGTTTCCGAGCCTTACCAGGAGTTAGTCCTGAGCACCCCAGGGTGTGGCCCCCAAAACAAAACAAACCAAAAAAAGTAACTCTGGGAAGATCAAGCATGTGAGGGAGACTGTACCTTGCTGACTTCCCGCTCCACACACCCCCTCTCCCCAAACCCTACCTAGAAGTGGGTCAGAGGAGACTTTCTGAGAGGTCTGGATGTGGTGGTGTGAGCAAACCATCTGCCAGGAACATTCCTTAAATAATTAGCAGGGGCCGGAGTGATAGCACAGAGGGTAGGGCATTTGTCTTGCACACAGCTGACCTGTGTGATTTCCAGCATCCCATATGGTCCCCTGAGCACTGCCAGGAGTAATTCCTGAGCGCAGAACCAGGAGTAACCCCTGAGCATCGCTGGGTGGGACCCCAAAGGCAAAAACAAACAAACAAAAAATAATTAGCAGCTCAGATGCGTGAGTTTAAACTGACACCACTAGCAGGAAACCAGAACCCCAGACTGCATGTCCTGATGGAGGATGTGCTCACCCTCTTGCCTCTCTCATCTCTCCTCTCTCCTCCTCTCTTCCTCTCTCCCCTCCTCTCCTCTCCTCTCCTGTCTCTCCTCCCTTTCAGGGTAGTAATTATGTCCCAGTTCGCCAGCAACCCAAGAAATCAGGAATAGCCAAAGTCACCTTCGATTTGTACAAGCCGAGTCCCAGAGATGTCATCGGCTGTCTCAATGTGAAGGCCACCATGTATGAGATGTACTCCGTGTCCTACGACATCCGCTGCACTGGGCTCAAGTCCGTGCTGAGGTAACAAGGGTATGAGCGTCAATTGTGGGATGTAGCTCCCTCACACCCTGCTGGCCGGTGCTCCCTGAGCCCAGCCCTACGAGAGAGTGCTCACCTGGTTGAAGTTCATTCGAACTCGTGTGTGTGTGTGTGTGTGTGTGTGTGTGTGTGTGTTATTTATTTTGGGCCACACCGGAAGTATTCAGGGCCTACCGCCACTTCAGTATTGGTGGTAGGGAGTCACTTCGAATGGTGCTGGGGGGGGGTTAATTTGGTGCTGGACTTAAATCCAGCCTCCCCCCATGCAAAGCCTGCATCCCAAACCCTGGACCCATCCTCCAGCCTTCAGTAGTTTTGCTTTTATTGCTATGGTTTTATTTCAGAAAATGCAAAGTCTTGAGCTTTTTTTTTTTTATCTCAAAATACCATTAAATACTAGAAAGAAGCAATTGATTAATCAGTGTAAAGGAAAAACAGTTTGGGTGGGACTGGGGGTGGGGCCATATCTGATGGAGTGCAGGGCTTCCTCCTGACACTGTGTTCAGGAATCCCTCCTGGTAGGTTCAGAGGACCACATGGGGTGCTGGGGATCAAACCTGGCTCAGACGCATGCAAGGCGAGTGCCTTAACTGCTCTGCTATCTGTCCGCCTCCACCCTCCCCTTGCATTTCTTCTTTAAAAAGCCAGCGCAATATGGGCAAATAAATAGTACAGTGCGGGTAAGGGACTGTTTGCATTACATTGACCCCGGTTTAACCCCTGGCACCATATACTGTTCCCTCAACCCCACTAGGAGTCATCCCCGAGCACAGAATCAAGAGTAGTCTCTAGCACTGCTGGTGTCGAACCCAAAACAAACAAAAATGTGCATATGTGGAGAGTCAGATGGAGTCTTTGACACTTGCTTCCTTACAGTCATTTCCTTTTTGAAACCAGACGGTTATGATTTTTTTATAATTTATTTATTTATTGAATCACTGTGGGAAAAGTTACAAAGCTTTCAGGTTTAGGTCTCGGTCATGCAAATATCAAACACATTTCCCTTTACCGATACTTATTTTTCACCATGAAGAACCCCAATAAACCCCCACCCCCCCCCCATTGCCTGTGAGGCAGATGAATTCTGGTTAACACTCTATCTACTTTGACTAGATTCATTGTTTCGATAAAAGATGCACCATTATTATTTAGTTTACCCTCCCCCCCCCAAATCAGACCTGCTGAAAAAGCATTGTGAAATGATTTGCTTTCTACAGCTGGGTACAAGAATTAAATGATATCGCACGGCCGCTTGTGGTCGCGCAGTTTTGGATTTCTGCTATTTTACTTATTAACCCTGGAAGTATTTCTACTGAGAGTCAGATAATTAAAGAGATTGGTTTCTGTGCTCTGGAGTCATGGCCGTGCTGGAGAGCCGCTCGTGGGGGGCAACTGGTGATCTCAGTAGGGCGTGAAGGATGAGCCGGGAACGCCCCCCTTCCCATGAGGTTTTAGTCGCCCCATCACCACCGGCTCATACCTGGCTCTCCACAGGGCTCCCATGCAGCTGCCATCTTTCTTTCCAGAGGGGAGAAGTGTAGAAATTTTTAATAGTATAAACTTCACCCCAAGTCCTGCCTTGCCAAAACCTTTCTGGAAGACTAGTCAGACTTGATTCTAACTCTTACCATTGCAGAGATCCAAGGCACCAAAAGCAGCCAAAGGAATCCCAAAAGGCAAATCACAGGCAGAGGCTGTCCTCTGTTGTCCGGGCTTTAAAACGGACGTTAGCTCCGGCAGAGGCTAAGGATGTGTGTGAGTGCTGGTCGCGAGTCTGTGGTCCCAAGGAACCTGAGCATCAGCGTGAGCACGGCCTGCAGGGCTGAGTGGGACATCCTGATCTGTGTGTCTCACGTGTCTCTGCAGCTTCTAATGAGATGTCCCTTCCGCCTCACTTCTCTCATACCTGGTGTGCCTGGTTTAGGGGACAAGCCCTGTGTCCCTAACACCCCACAGGGAGCTGGTGGCCGAGAGGCTGGACTCTTAGGAGAGCATGTGACAGCTCAGTGCTCCCACTTGCTGAGCGGGCCACGTTGGAGGTGGCTAGTGTGAGCAATGCCATGTAGAGGGCAGAGGGCACCTATGGCATCAGCCTCCCAGGGTGGCAAGGAAATGCAGAGCCCCGGAACCTCCCACCCAGCCTCTGCATAGAGCAGGCCCCTAGGGCTGGGGAGCTGTCCTGGTGGGCAGAGTGCACAATGGACCCTCTACTGCCTGGCCCAACTGAGCACCCCAGGGCATAACCCCGGAGGCCCTTGAGTACTGTTGGGGTCCTCGGCCTGGCCCCCAACTCTGCTCATGCCCCACAGAGCTGCATTGCTGGACCTAAGCACGGAACTGTCCAGGCCTGTTGGTCAGGCGTTGTGGCAGTGGCCCCAGATGCCTTGAGCACTGCTTAGACCCCCCCCCCAGGCATGTTAACATGAGCATTCCTGTTAGAATATCAGTGTGTGTGAGCATGTGTGAGTGTGAACATGTGTGACTATGTGTGCACGTGTGTCTGACTTTGTATGACTATGTGTTTGTGAGTGTGTGAAGGTATGAATGTGTGTGAGGATATGAGTGTGTTGATGACTGTATGTGAGTGTGTGCATGAGTGTGTGAGTATATGAGAATGCATGAAGGTATGAGTGTTATGTGATTGTGTGTGAGTGTGTGTGAGGGTGAGTATGTCTGGGCATGTGTAAGAGTATGTGGTATATGAGGGTGTAGGGATGCGAGTGTGTTTGTGAGAGTATGCGTGTGTATGAGTGTGAAAGTGTGAGTGTTTATGAGAGTATCAATGAGTGTGTAAGGTTGTGTGGATGTGTGTGAGGGTATGTGAGTGTATGAGTATGTCTGTGAGGGTGTGAGTGTATGTGAGTGTGCATGAGTGTGTGCAAGGATGTGAGTGTGTATGAGTTTGCGTGTAAGAGTGTGTGGGGTGTGTGAGGGTATGTCAGTGTGTGAGGGTATGAGTATGAGTGTGTGTGAGGGTATGAGTGTGTATGAGTATGTGAAGTGTGTATGAGCATGTGTGAGGGCGTGAGTGCATATGAGTGTGTAGATATGAGGATATGTGTGTGAGCACGTGTGTGAGGGTCTGAGTGTGTATGACTGAGTGTATGCATGTGTGAGAGTGTGTGTGTGAGCATGTGTGGAAAGAGAGGGAGGGGAGGGAGAGAGGGAGAGAGAGACAGAGGGAGAGAGAGGAGAGAAAGCTGACTTCATCCCTCTGTCACAGGAATCTGCTGTGGTTCCTGTCTGTCTGTGAGCATGTGTGTGTGTGTGTGTGTGTGTGAGAGAGAGAGAGAGAGAGAGAGAGAGAGAGAGAGAGAGAGAGAGAGAGAGAGAGAGCGCTGACCTCATGCCTCTGTCGCAGGAGTCTGCTGCGGTTCCTGTCCCACGTGGCCCAGGTGACCGGGCAGTTTCTCATCTACTCGGGCACATACATGCTCCGGCTGCTGGGGGACACCGAAGACCGGACCTCCCCCAGTTCCCACCCCAGGCGGGGCTACATGTGTGGGTAGGGCTGAGCAGAGCGCAGTGCCCCAGCTCCTGGCTGCACGGGCCCTCCCCAGCAGCAGCCCTGGAAGGTGGATGTTCTTAGTTGCGTGCCCTTGCAGACTGAAGGTCACTGTCAGAAGTTGGGGCCTGGCTGAGAGGAAGGGACTGCGGGAAGGAGGAGGGCAAGTAGGGGCCCCGCAGCAGGAGGACGCAGCTCCCTTGAGCTTGGGGGGCTCCTTTGTTTCTGCAATAAATGAATCACAAGAATTGCTTCCGATGCGTACGTATAGTACACCGAGTGTGTCCTTCACGTCCCCGAAGCTGGAAGAACTTTCATCTAGAAGCGAGACACAAGCATGCATCGCCTTTTAGTCTTTCTGAGCACTGAGTGCTCAGAAATACCAACTGTCAGGGGCTGGAGAGAGAATACCCGGGTAAGGCACTTGCCTTGAAGGAGCTGTCCACAGTTTGATCACTGGTCCTATAGGATGTTCCTCTGAGCCCTGCCAGGAGAGATTCACAAGCATGGAGCCAGGAGTAAGCACTGCAGGAGGAAGAAAGGAAGGAAGGAAGGAGGGAAGGAAGAAAGGAAGGAAGGAAGGAAGGAAGGAAGGAAGGAAGGGGAAAGAAAGGAAGAAAGAAAAAGAAAGAAAGAAAGAAAGAAAAGAAAGAAAGGGGACTAGAGCAATAGCACAGCGGGTAGGGCGTTCTCCTTGCACTGAGCACCGCCAGGAGTAGTTCCTGAGTGCATGAGCCAGGAGTGGCCCCTGTGCATCTCCGGGTGTGACCCAAAAACCAAAAAAAAAAAAAAAAAAAAAGTTTCCTTGGAGACTGAAGTGAGTGCAGTGGTAAGACGCTTGCACAGGCTGACCCTTCCATGTCTGGCATGAGCAAGCACTACCAGGAGTCATCCCTGAGTGCAGAGCCAGGAGCACCTCCAGGAGAGCCCCAAACACACACTCACACACACACGCACGAGAACACGGGAGACAAAAGAACTTAGGGACGTATAGAATGTGAGAGGTGAGGAAGAGGAAGAGGCCACGGGCTTCTCCAGAGAGGAGACACCCAAGGTTTTGTGCGCTCCTTTGTTTCTCCCACAGCCCGCAGTGCTCGGGGGCCACCCTGACAGCAGGGGGAGACCCACCTAGTGTGACGCCGGGGTCCCGGCCAGCGCCTGCCCTGACCTTTGCGCTCTCCCACTCCTGCCGGCGGCCCCAGCACGGCCCCGCCCGCGGGCCCTGGGCCTGGGCCAGCCCCGGGCTTTGGGCGCCCCCGAGGAGGCTCGGGCTGGCGTCACCGCCCGGACCCGACCGCCGGCTTCCAAAAAAGGAATTTTCCCTCCCGGGTCTGCTCGGGCCGCCGCAGAGCGTGGAGGGGTCTGGCCCGGCCCTGGAAGGCGGGTCGGTTTCAAGACTGGGCGGTGTAGACGACGGTCTCCGGGCACAGACCACCCCCTAGAGGTGCGGGAGGGGCAGGAGCCCCAAAGGTTTCGGCGAGATTGACCCCGTGGGCTCTGCGGGGGGCCCAGCAGGTGCGGCTCGACCCCGGGGGCTCCGTCTGCGCGTTCCAAAGGCGACGCTCCCCAGCCCAGATCCGAGCCCCCGCGACCCCCGGCCAGGCAGCCCAGAGCAGGACTGCGGAGCTACGGCTCGGGGTCCTCGGGGGTCCTGGGGGGAGGGCGCTGCGGGCTGCGGGCTGCGGGCGCTCGGGGTCCTCGGAGGTCGGGGGGGGGGGGCGGCTGCGGGCTGCGGGCGCCCGGGTCCGAGTCCCGGCTGGCTCCGCTCGCAGGGCGGGGCGCGCCCACCGTCCAGGGGCTCTTCTCGGGCCCAGACCCCGCGTCAGGGACGCTCACTCGAGGCCTGAGATAGCGGGGGAGGCGCTTGCCTGAGCCGGGTTCGAGCCCCCGCACTTCCAGGGTCCTTCCGGACACCCCTCCCCCCCAGGAGTGACCCCTTAGCCCGAGCACAGCTGGGAGTGGCCCGAAACTCCAAACAACAAAAACCAACCCCCCAAAGGACCCTCCAAGGCGGGAGAGTGAGATTAACGCAGAGTCCAACCTCGAGCCTGAGCTCGCAGAAAGACGGGCAGAGAAGAACAGAAAACCGGGCTCGCAAGTTTGCATGCTGGGGACCCAGAAATCCTGCTGCCGGAGCACAGAGCCAGGAGTACCCCCTGAGCACCCCTGAACGTGGCCGGGAATAGACAAATGAACTAAGTGTGGGGCGGCGCCCCGCGCGCCTGCAGCTGCCTCCGCTGCCCCGGGTCCAGCCCCGCGCCACGCACTGACCCCGAGTGCCACCAGAGGGCGCCCCTGAACACCGCCTAGAGCGAGCCCCAGGCCATGCGCCCCAAATGGATACCCTGGCGGGGTGCGAGGTCATAAGCGCCCCGGGATTCGGGCCCGGGTTCCAGCTCCTTCCATTTGTCTGGACCTTGGTGTTGAGTCGTGTGACCGTGGAGGTACACGGTTTCGGGGCTCGCTCTTTCTTTATTCCCTCTTCCTTCCTTCCCCTTCTTTTTTTCCTTTCCTTTCTCTCTCTCTCTCTCTCTCTCTCTCTCTCTCTCTCTCTCTCTCTCTCTCTTTCTTTCTTTCTTTCTTTTTCTTTCATCCTTTTTTCTTTCTCCCTTCCTCCCTCTCTCCCTCCCTCTTTCTCCCTCCTTCCTTCCTTCCTTCCTTCCTTCCTTCCTTCCTTCCTTCCTTTCTTTCTTTCTTTCTTTCTTTCTTTCTTTCTTTCTTTCTTTCTTTCTTTCTTTCTTTCTTTCTTTCTTTCTTTCTTTCTTTCTTTCTTTCTTTCCACACACCACAGTGCTTCAGGGGTTACTCCTGGCTCTGCACTCAGGGATCTCCTGTTCAAAAAAAACTGGGATACCAAGGATCTAATCCTGGTCAGTTGTGTGCAAGGCACAAGACTTCCTGGCTGTACTATCTCTCTGGCCTGACCCTGTCTCATCAGCTGCTGCAGCCCACAGCACTGTACCTCATTCCTGCCCTTTGCCAAGGGCCTGTGGCCTGCCTGGCCCTGGGTCTGGCTGCCGAGTTCCCTGGAGCCTTTTGGAGACAGACATCCTAAAACTGGGATTCGTTTCTGTGGCTTACTGGGGCCTTCTGGCCCTAGGATATTCCAAGGGGTCACTGGTGAAAATGAGGTGAGTGAGGGAGACTGAACATGGCATAAGCCTGGGGGTGGGGGAGGGAACCTGGTGGAAAGGAGGTTAGAAACACTGAGAAACACTGTTCCGAGGAAAAGTTCTTCCTCCTCACTTGCCCGCCCCCACCCACCCCCACCCATCAGAGCCAGCCAAGGCCTGTGCTGGCCGCGCTGCAGACACGCTGGCTTCCTTCAGTGCCCAGACCTCTCAAGAGCAGAGCACTGCAGGGCCAGGCTGAGAGCACCTCCTGCACTGTGCCCCTGGGAATAGGCGATAAATCAGGTCTGAGCGCACTCACGGTACATTGAGCAAGGGCAGAGCCCAGGCCCCCTGCTGCAGGCCCCTCCTCTGTCCCTGAGAGCCACCTGCAGCTCCCTGGGCTGCTCACTGTGGTGCCCCAACAAGAGCACAGCCTCAGGCACAGCCAGGAGTATTGGCGCAAACAAACAACCCTGCGAAGGAGAAGGCTGAACCCTCCTCAGGAAGCCCCTTCCCCAACCTAGGAGCGTCCCTGCCATCCCTTCCCTATCCTTGATCAGTCTTTCCTGAATGTGGCTGTTTGCTTCGCAGTCCCTTGTCCAGTCCTGACTGCTGAAGGCAGACCCAGAGTGCCCAGACCCCTGGGACGTTCCCCGAGGGCCCGAGCAGGCCTCTCCTCATCTGCACTGTGTTCCCGAGTCCCAGCTCCACCCTGTCCCCCTCACCTTCAGCTGGCTCTGTGGCTAAGAGGGGCCGCCTGTGAGTCCTGAGCCTCAGCTTGGCGCCTGCATGTGCTGCTGGGCCTCAGATGTGCAGATGAAAAGAACTCCAAGGGTTCTTGCTGCTGAGTCTCACTCGCCAGGGGCACCCCCAAATGGTGTTGGCTTGCTCTGCTGTGCCTGAGAGGGGGCCTGGGCCCGGAGTGGAGGAGGAGGGAGGGGGAGGAGGGTGGCAGGAGGGGAGAGGAGGGAGGGAAGACAGGGGAGGATTGGAGGAGGGAAGGAGGAGGGATAGGAGAGAGGGAGGAGGAGGAGGGGAGGAGGAAGGGGAAGAGGAAGGGGAAAGGGAGGGGAGGAGGGAGGGGGAGAGGGAGGGGAGGAGGGAGGGGAGAGAAGGAAGGAAGGAGAGGGGAGGAGGGAGGGAGAGGGACAGGGAGAGGGACAGGGAGGAGGGCGGAGGAGAAAGGAGGAGAGAAATAGGAGGGAGGAGGAGAAAGGAGAGAAGAGGGAAGGTGGAAAGGTGGAGGGGGAGGTGAGAGAGGAGGAGTCTGGGCTCACTGTAGGAGGACTCATCCGCTCAGCCTGGCTGGGGGAGGGTTCTGGCCACTCAGTACCTCGTGGGCTGTGTCCTCCAAGCCAGACTGCCCCACCCTGTAGCCCGCCCTACACTGACCCAATCCTAAAGGGATTGTGTGAGAAATCCCAAAGACAGAGGGGAAAAGTATATTGAACAATCTAAGATGATTCCAAGTATTTACAATTTTGTTGCATAATACAGAATTAATTGAAATACAGCAATTTAGGCAATAACTTAGATATTTTGGAAAATTTTCACTGAGCAAACCTCTCCCTACACTGCCTTTCTGTATTGAATCCAGCGGCATTTTCCGGAAGATGTTTGTGAATTGGAACATTGGCTTGGAGTGCGGGATTCCCCCTCACTCCCATTGGCAATTAAGTATCTTCTCCTTTTTTTTTCTTTTTGGGTCACACCCAGCAATGCACGGGGGTTACTCCTGGTTCATGCACTCAGAAATTACTCCTGGCAGTGCTTGGGGGACCATATGGGATGCTGGGAATCGAACCCGGGTCGGCCGCGTGCAAGGCAAACGCCCTACCCACTGTGCTATCACTCCAGCCCCAAGCATCTTCTCTTTTAATCAGAAATGAATTG